CAAGCCACCAATGCTCAGACTGAAGGGTCGATCCACTGAACCACAGAGGCCAACATTGCCTGAGACACCTCAGCTCTGATTTGAGACTGTTCTCTTATGAACTGCAACATGATTCCTGCCCAAAGTTTTCATCTCTTAAACAGTCACAATGATTTAATTACCGAAAACAAGACATTTTTGACCTCTTTCCAAAGCTTTTTTTTTTCCTGACTGTGTTAATAGTGTCACACCTGTCCACAGACACACTCCACTTGCTCTCCCCACTTTCCTGTCTAGTCTCCCTTCTCCAGAAACCACCACTTTACTACCGTTCCCTCTCCAGACTCATGCCTTTGGCTCTGGAAGAAAAAGAACTGCACTATTTGTGTACAGGAAATTCTCTCTATATGTAAGTACCCAATTCATGCATCTCTATAGTGTTTTGGGTTAAAACGTTTGATTTTGAAAATTACTGTTTGAGTTGATTGAAGTGGGGTTTAAATGAGTCCACCAGACCTAAGATAAATGATAATTAGGTATTCATTATGGAAGCACTTATATGAATAATAGTAAATAACTGTTGCGTCTTCCTGCTCCAGAAGATGCAGTCTCTGCCCTTCTGATGTTCTTCACAACCCAAGAGAACAAGACAGCCCCTCCTCTACCTTATAATGGATCACAACTGAACACCTGAAACCACTCCCTTAGGGTATGGCCACCACCACAAGTTCCCTGGAAAGAAAAATTCTACTACATTTCCCATTTTTGTCTCAATAAGAGGATTTTAAGCCTAATACAAAAACTATATAGCATGATAACAAATATCAAGTATAGTCCAGAAGAAGGGAAGGTAACAACATATACAAATGTAGACCTACAACCAACAAGAGCAACATTAAGCAAGAGACACATACTAAGTGTCCAGTCCCAGGGTAATGACATATGACAGACCTATTCCTGTCCTAATCTGGAAAGTTTAAGTCTTTTACCTAATATGTTCTAGATAAGGTAAGAGAGAATAATGGCTCTATCTAGTCTTCAACCTCATCAAAGACCTCAGAAAGAAAATAACATTACTAGGGTAAGCAGGAAGTGCAAGAGGGAGACTTCCTAAAGGTGCAAGAAATGACAGAAACAGCAGGCTAACTGGACAGTCACCCAAGTCACATCAAGGAAACCAATTTCGGCTAAAGCCTAGTGTATCTGACAGACCATCTCAGAAGCAGGAAAATTGGAAAGACTGTCCTACTCTGACTTGGCAAGATTCAGCAATCTCTTTAAGTTTATCTCCCGCTAGCCCAGTTAGGACAGCATGTAGTTGAGACAGGAACAATTTTTTGCCAAAAAGATCAGTATTGCCAAGAAGAAAACAAACTCCAAATAAGGAGTCATTGGTGTTCGTCATACTCTTGGGAATACTCGGTCCTGCTAAGAGCAATTTTGTCTCATGCCAGTGGAGTTCTAAATTATTAAAACTTTTAAATGCCATATTCTGTAGGACTTTGAAGTATTTGAAGATCAAATATCTATGTTGGGAAAATCTCTGAGCAAACAGAGAATCTGACTAACATCATTAGGTATAAGAAGCATGGGTAACTATAATCTGTAATTCTCAGAAATATATATATATTGCTTACTGACTGAAGCTTCCCAAATATAATTTAAACACTATTTAAACAGATGTGTAGCATAGGGAAAATGTGGCCGCCACCACAAGTTCACTGGCAAAGCAAGATGTCACTACAGTTGCTGACAAGTTTCATTTAAAAATGTTCCATGTTATTTAGCTTGGGATAATGAACATTCCTAATAGTTTTTAAATGGCTTCAAATAGACTTCTGCCATTTTGTACTATGTATTTATGAAAAGCTGTAAGGGAAGCACTGATGATTCAAAAATCAAAATGTCAATCAACTTGGGAAAATGCTGAAGATACCATTTCCTGCAGATTCAAATATTCAACCAAGACTCAATTCTTTATATAAAAATAAACAAGTACTTCCATCTTATCATATCCGTTTGTTTAACCTTTAATATGTGGCAAATTGCATGTATAAAATTATTTTAAAATAAATTATGTTGTGACTTAGTATCAGTTATTTGTATACCTTCACATTTAGATACCTTGGGTCAAATAAAAACTTCCTGAGCTTAAAAAGAGATAATGAGTGGTGAAAGTTTCTGAAGCCCTGTAAATTAGTGTGTGAAGCCATCTCTGTATTTGTAATGTGACACATTTCTCCTACTTCTTGGATAGGTGTTGTGCAGAAGTATGATGCCTGTAGCATATGCAAAGTGTGTGTGTGTGTGTGTGTGTGTGTGTGTGTGTTTATGATTTTGTACAATTGTGTGTATGGGTGTGTGCACTTATGTGTGTTTGTGGATGCCAGGAGAAGACACTGGATGTCTTTTTGCCTGCTCTCTTGAAACGAGGTGTCTCACTGAACCTGGAACTAGACTAGCAGAGAACAACCTTAGTGAGCCTCCTTTACATCCCTCAATGTAGGGTTACAGATTCACATGGCCACTTTTTTGCATGTGTGCTGGGGGGGGGGGTTGAACTCTGATCCTCTGCTTATGCAGCAAATATTATTACCCACTATGCACTCTTTTTCCCAGCCCTGATAATTAATAATTATTTTTTTATTTAGATCTTTCTGATCTACTAGCCCTCAGTACAATCCTTTAAGGTAACATTTCTATACCACTGACAGACAAGGAGATAGAGGCATGGCATGATGAAATTACTTTCCTAAGAGTTATAAGAGCTTACTGCTGATGTTGGCAGTGGGGGGTGGCAAGGTTTGAACTTCTATGATTCAAATTCCTGCTTGATAAAAAGCAATGTGCTATTCATGACAACATGAAAGCAAAAGGCACTGTACATCAATGCAGTGCTACATCTCTAGTCTCTAGCCCTTGAGACTAGATACTGAAGCTCTGCCCTTCCTGACCAATACACAGACGCTCATTGACAAGAATCCTGCCTTTGACTTCTGGTGATTTGTTAATGTAGGAAGAGGATCCTCCACACTTGTTGAGTTTCAAAATGCTTCAGCATGAAAGGTCTTCAGGATGACTTGTGGAAACATGTTATTTACAGGTAGTCTGTGGAGAGTCTCCAGCACCTTCCTTTGGAAATAACACTGATTCTTGATCTTGGAAGGCTGATCAAGAAAATTCTAATACATAGAAATAGGTTAATAATAAGACAGAGCTAGCTGATAAGAAACTAGTACCTGGCCAACAGCATTATATCAAATACAGAGTCTCAGTGTGTTATTTGGGGCTGGCGCGGCGGTGGGACTTGACCAGCGGTGGGCAGAAAAACTTACTCCTTACAAGAAGGCATCATGATTCCAGTGAAGAGCACTGACTTCTCCATGAGCATAAGTGGGGTAACCTACACTAATCATGATCATCCGAAGAGCACTGACTTCTTCGTGAGTGTCAGTGGGGTAACCTACAGTAACCATGATCATCTGAAGAGCACTGACTTCTCCATGAGCATCAGTGGGGTAATCTACACTAATCATGATCATCTGAAAAGCACTGACTTCTCCAGTATCAATTATTTTGGTAGTGAGTCTTCCCTTTCATAAACTTTGCATTGTTGAAGATAGAAAAGTAATTCTGAGCTGGGCACAATGGAGCACCTGAAACCAGCACCAGCAAGAACAAGGAAGGAGGTGGTGGCTAGGTTAGAGCTAGCCTGGGGCATATGGTGGGACCCCAATCTCAAAAGAATTTTAGGACATACCTCTGTATGTGTTCATGACTAAGCTACATATTTTGCCTCAATTTCAGCCAAAGAATCTTAATTTCTGAGGTAAATATATTTACTTTTCCCAAAACTAATAGGTCAAGGCATTTCTTTTTATTTTATTTTTGATACACTGGGTTGACTTGATCAGATACTGAAAGAATCTGCTAAAAGTTATTTTCATGACTAATAATGACTCTAAAGTAAAAATCAATTTTCAATATTTGTTAAAAATCCTTTATCCTAAAGAGTCATATGTATATTTTTTGACTTATAAAATTATTGCAAACCCACTATGAAGGAGAAATTTCATTCTTGTTTCTTCATACAACATATTTTAATGCATTCGTAATTACTATTACATAAGTTATTGCCATGTAACATACAGTGATGGTTAGTAGTTATTGTGTATAGCATTTTATACATTATATTGTGCTATTATATAGAAATTTATAGCAGTAATTTATATCATGCTAAATTATTACATTATAATTAAAATCACTTGTACTATTACCATTATCATCTAGTACATGAAATGCTAAAATACTGTAAAGATACACTTCAATGATGATTACAGGAGACAGTCTAGGATAATAACAATAATAACACTAAGACCATTCTAGATTTACAGTGGTCCATTATAAATTACATGTGACTCTATTTTGAACAAAACACCTTTAGAGAAAGGGAACATAAAGAGAAAGGTGTTATGTGTTAAGGTCTAAGTCACTAATACTATTAAAATAATTTACACTGAATATGCTGACAGGTTATCCTCTGATTTTACTTGTTCTCCTCAGTCTGAACTTACCCCTTTCACTGCACTTGATTTAAGAAATTGGATTGACTGTGTTCAAACACAGCTCGTCCACAGAAGATGTGCTTGCTCTATTATGTTACTTTGAAAGCATCGTAAATAAATATTCATTCACTAAACACTTCAAGATTTTAGCTTCAGACATCACAGCTGTTATTTTCCCTCTGAAAGCACCACGGTATTACTCTTCTTAGAGAAACGCACCCACAAATACAATTTTAGGGAAGTGGCATATGGATTTCCATTTTTCCTGTGACGGTGTATATACATTCTGCCATCAATATTGCCCTCACTTACAACATGGTGTGCTGTAAAATGATTGCCACTGAACAGGCCAAGATACTTTTCTGCACAAATAAGGGACACATTCCCTATGAAATTAGCTTAACAGGAAACACTGGAAGATTTGAATAGGCAAACGTGACCCAGCTAAGCACTCACATCTTGTCGCTCACGTTGAGCATCCGTTCCTCTTGCCTAAGTGCCTCTCTAGCCAGCTGTAAGTGGTTGATGGGTTCTGCCACTCTCAGGGTTGGCTCCAAAGGCTTGTAACGCTGATGCAGGACTTCATTGATGTCTCGGAAGGGTCCCTGACAAGACAGGAGGACAAATGTGTTTCACTATGGAAGAGTTCCAGACACATGGACAACTGTGGTGCTAAACTCTTACAAAATATAATAAGTATATTAAACTGCTTTTAAAACATTTTTCTCAGAAGTAAAACAAGCAAATAAAAGAACAAGAATATCAACCAGGAGGTGGTGGCACACGCCTTTAGTTCCAGCACTTGGGAGGTAGAGGCAGAAAAATCTCTGAGTTGGAAGTCAAAATGGTCTATAGAGCAAGTTCCAGGATAGCCAAGACTACACGTAGAAACCCTATCTAAAAAAAAAAAAAAAAAAAACAAAAAACAAAAAACCACTAAATAAATAAATAAACAAAAAAGAATATCACTTATCTTTTAGAACTGTCCTCTCTCTCCTCTCTCATCAAAGTGTCCTAAAACTGTTTCAGACTTGGAAGAAACACCCTATCATGTCAAGAAGGTTCTCGCTTGTGGGCTAGAAAGCCCACAGTTCTAGGTTTCTTTACATTGTAACTTTACAGGTACACTTCTTCCAACACAACTGAAGTGTGTACTTTCTCTTTTTAAGTTAGCATAAAGAAGAGATTACAAGCTTTAACTTTTCAAAAGTCCTCTTGTATTTTAAACAAAATCCTTTATATAGGTACCAAATCTTGTTGGTTTCTTAAACATAAATGGACACTGTCCATCATTGTTTTATCTGAATTCTGCTGCTCAGTGGCTCTGGAACTAAGGGCAGTCTTTCAGGGCTACAACTAAGAAAGGAAAGAGTCCACAGGCGAGCCTGGGTGACTCTTGGCACAGCCTCCTGTAAAGTAAGGAGTTATACTAAACACCACAGTTCACTGGTTAGCCAGCCAGCATCATGATCAGCATAGTCGAGCCAAAGGCAGCTTAGGTATTTGTTATGTGGTTAGGACATACTGATTATTTATTTAACCACTGTGTTAGAAAGGAATAACACAAAATGGACAAAGATTTCTAATCTCATTCCTTATTCTTAAAAACGTCTCCTTTAGATGGGTTATTACTAAGAAGTCGCAGCTGGAGCTTCTGCAAGCTCTGAGTGAAGACTGTGGGGCTAATAAAAAGAAATGATTCACGCCTCATTTATGTTCACTTATGTTTTACATTAATAGAAACCAATAATAGGAACCAGTTACCATAAAAGTCATGGACCGTAAATAACACAAATGGCAGATCAGTATCATCTAGTACTTTCCACAGCTGGACAGGAGGATTGCTATATTTGAAAGTGGTTAATGGATTTGTATTGGGAGTTTGCTTTTTAAAGACACACGATCACGATTCCAATCTGCTCTCAAGAAATCAAGAGTCTTAAACTGGACTCTTTTGCTCTTTGACAAATACAATAGTTGAAGAATTGGTATTTGGTTGTATAATAAGTGATAAGTGCCATTTACTTCTGTGGGCCTGTATTTTACTGTGTGTAAGTCAGATAAGAACTGTAAGTCAGGGTTTCCTTTAGGAAGTATAGTGTAGCAATCAGTGTGGCATTAAAAATATGACATCTCAAAAGTGGCAGGATGCTTATTTGTTTCAAAAATACAATTTAAAATGTTTTTGGACAGTAGAAATGTCAAAGAAATAAAAGTTCAGAATAAGGTCAGCAGACTATTTAAGCCTATGTTGAAAGACACACACACACAAACACACACACACACACACACACACACACACACTTCTCATATCCTTAACACACACTCACACACTTCTCATATCCTTAGCTGGAACTTCACAGGGTTTAATTTTGCTTTGTCTCAAGCTATGCCTTGGTTATAAAAATCAAATGCATTTCTGTTCTACAATCAATGTTATTGCATAGTTATCCTTTATTTCAAAGTGTTTATCAAAGGTTAATAATACAGTTTCAACTTAGTAGAGTAGTCCCATATAGTCGAGAAATTATCCTCCAAATCCCAAATGCTGTGTCCAAACATTGGCATTTGGGCAGTCAGTCTTAAACATTCTCAATGTATAGACCTTTTTATTGTTGAGTAAAGGAAATGTTGCTTAGCTAATAATCACACAGCATTCCCATTGTGAATGAAAAGGAAGCCACACAGAAAGAGGGAATGTGCAGAGAAAGACAGGGATGTGAGGTAAATGAGAGAAGGGAAAAGGACAGGAAATTAAATGAGAGGAAAGCAAGAAAAAAAAGGAGGAAGGAAAGAAGTGAGAAGCAAATTTATATATATATATATATGTATATATATATATATATATATATATGAGATGTTTTTGATTCCCTATAAAATGTCATGAAAATAACAGCTAATAATATTTGTTAGTAGTTTTGAGAGGAAATATTTAAGTAAAGGCAATTGAGGGTATAATTACAGAGAACAGAAATGTACAACAGATAATTATAGCAACGTCGGAAGATTTAACAGTGTAGAACACAGGTGGTCTTACTGAGAGGCAGACTCAGTGCCAGGCAGGGGAAGGAGGTCTCTAAATTACCTCCAGTAGGCCCTGCTTCATGCTATTCACTGTTCTGAGTGGTCTCTCGTCCTTTGATAGAAACAGGCCTACTCACCTTGAATAACCAGAACAGGGCAATGGTTATGGGATGTCAGTTCTGGCTTCTGTTTTTGAAAGCTTTCCCCCTCTTTCTCTAGGATGGCTCCATTTGAAGGAAGCCAGCCGCCAGGCTGTAGGGGATGCTTTGTGGTGTGGACACTGTGAGGAAGAACAGCATGGCAACAACTAGCCGTGTGGATAAAGGGTCTCTTTGGCTTCCTAACCTTACAGCCTATTCAAGCATTCAGAGGAGGTTTCAGCCTTGCTGACCCCCAACTATAGTAATGAAAAAGCTACATTCAGATGCAGTAACCTAGGGATACTATGAAAAGGCAAATGCATTTTGGTTTAAGCCTTTATTTTTTCTATTTCTGGAATTGATTATTCAAGGAATCATATGCAGAAGTAAGCCTGTGTAGGGAGCCAATGAACAGAGTTTTAACCAGCAGAGTCCAAACCAACCTCCTTTCAGATTGATACCAGTCACAGGCAGCTGCCTTCTGCAACTGAACTATTGAAGGGTTCTGAGACTTTTAGGATCATGACAAATATCCTTTCCTCTGCAGCCCAGGAAGGACTTTTCCTCCCTAACTGTCACAATTCAGGCATAGCCAAGATTTCCTGTCTGTGCTGAGAGTCCTTGGAGTATCTCCACATCTCACACTGGCACTTTATAAATTATTCAAATGCAAGTCATGTTTCAAATGGTAATACAATATGTGTATCATCTGAGGACAGGTTATGGTAGGTCAGTTGGACAACACATAAACATGAAAAATCCTGCAAAAATGGATTACAGCAAGCGCCCCTGCAACAATTCACACAAGAATTAGGCATTTCTGCAATAACCCTGTCCTGAGTCCATAATCAGTATAATGCCTAGCACCAGGACACCAGTTACAAACTTTTTTTGGCAACAACTTTAACATGACATATTTCTTGTTTAAAGTTAATTAAGTCTTTATTAGAAAGGATTTTTCTTTTGTAAAAACAAAGCATTTTAAATCACATAGCACGATGGAGAGAGTAAAAACACTACCTACAGGATGGAAGAAAAGACTTGTAACCCATTTCACTTAGTAGTTTATAGTGTGTAGTCAAAAACATGGTATTGGGTTTGTGGGGTATTTTTAAAGTAGCTAACATAAAAGTGATCATTTCTTTTTTGAGCCATGAATGGATAAATAGTTGAATATACATATGATGGAGTCATATGATTTTGCAAATGTGTATATGCATGTACTATGACACTAACATATTTTGATGGGCTTTGAGTACACTACCATAAGTGAAACAGGCCATGACGGGATGCAGGAGAAGAGAAATGGAGAGTGTTTTTTGACGAGGCTGAGGTCAGCAAGATAGAGTTGGTGTGTGGATGACAGCACTGGTCAGCCAACAGTGTCAGTGAACCCGATGCTAAGAAAATGCATGCTGTAAAATGGTGACGTTAACAGATGTCAAACAAGCATACTTTCCCACAGGAAGAGGCTAGGAGAAGAGCTAGGAGGAAAAAAAAAAAAAAAAAAAAAAAAAAAACGTAAGGACAGATTCACATGGAGCCACTTGGTACCTGACACCGCTTCCTGTCGATAGGTGGCAGACTTGCTGAGTGAGGGAAGGAGCGGGCGCTGGTGCATGCCAGCCAGTTGCTGAAGCTAAGGTGGGACTTGGTCTTCATGGAGGTGGACGGTTGATGCACTAAAGGCTTTGCCTTCTGTAACCGCAGCTCCCATGGGTCAGGGTGTTTTCGAAAAGGTGAATTGTATACACCTGAAATCTAGAGAGGAACACAGTTTCTTAACTTACATATGAAATTAAATTTTCTTTCATTTAAAGAAGAAATAGTTTGAATTTCAACTTTAGTGTTTAATCAAGGTTGAATTTATCAGAGGAGAATTTAGAACTTTGGCCCTTTATATCTTGTTTAGACCAACAACCTTAGCAACTTTCAGGACTGCAGAGTAAATATGTTTTAAAAACTCAATCTGAAATTGTATTGGAGGAAAAACCATAGAGGGATCTGAAGCCATCCATTTTGTATTCTTGACAGATATGTTTTAAATGGTACCTGTAAGCCATGGCATAATTTACATGAAGGCAGATGTGCACTTACTGATCCCTACACAATGTGTTAGAGAAAAGGGACTGCATTTGTGAACCCCATTGGTCTCAAGTCCTCACTCATGCGCTTTCTCTGCTTTGGAAACCTAGGGTGGAGCAGGGTGTTATGCACTTTTCTGAACCGCCGAGTGTTTAGATTCATTTATTTAGTGGCTGTTGTGTACCTTGCATCTTGGTAGACACCAAGGTTGCCAAGATACCCAAAGCACTGCCCTGCTCTCCACTGGCTTGCTGTGAAAACCTGAAACACAATGATTACTCTGAAATAGTGGCTCAAGTGATGGACAGTGGTGGAGCAGACTGGCACCTCTAAGTCAGAAAGGAAGAGATGGGGACAGGGCTGGGGTAGGGGTAGGGTACAAACTGACACTTGCGGAAGTGTTGGTTAGAAATGCCAAACTTTTCTAGGACAGTTAACTACATCATATGCTCTCTGAAAAAGATATGAGAATAAATGACATTTTGCTTGGTGGCAGTCTAATTGGAAATCTTTTAATTTACTTTACTGACCAAATTTCCACAACCTTATAGATTAAGTTGTGAGATTCATACAACTTAGCTAAAGGTTGTAATTTACCATTTAAAATCTCTGTTGGCCGGCATAACTGCTGGCATCTACATTAACTCTGCCCCATTAGGAATCTTGATCTCCTCATGCATTTGCACACACATGTATACATAGGCAAGATGGGAAATGCAATTTGAGAGACATGATAGCTTTCTTAAATTATACTGTGCAACTATATAGAGACCTCCTCATGTGTATTCTCTTTGCAATTTAAATCAAATATAGATAGAAAATATATTTTAATTGAATTTCAAATGTATCATTTAAAATCTTCAAGGTGTCAGTATTTTAGAAATTATTACATTAGCTAACTTATCTCAGTAAAAGCAGAGTGGCCCTCCTGGACTTCCCACAGCAAGCAAATACCTATTTATTGGTATAGTAGCCATTTAATTATTATTTCTTTAAGTAAATAATACTTTAAAATGTATGATTGTCTCAATTGCTATATTCCATACTTGAAAGCTGGTTAAGAAGAATGGTTTGCTGTGAGTCACAGAAGCCACAGTAACCCCTAAGGGACATGGACATATTTTCTACCTCCCCCATTTTTCACAACCTAGAAGGGCCACTGCCATTCCTGCTTTGGGGACTTCATTTTCAGCAATAATTTCCTAGAGTGACCAACACTATGGGGAAATCTGTGCTAACTGTTTGGAAAAAAAGAGAAAGAGAAAGAAAAAGCCTACACCTGAGTTATTTGCAGTACTGTCATGCTAACATTCAACTCAATAAGGCCTAGGAGCTCTCAGGAGGGGACTCTGCTAATAGCTTCCCACTGACCTCCTCGCAACAGGCCTGGCTGCTGACTGGTGGCCCAGTGGTGAAGACAGCAAATGAGGTGTGAAAGCTGATTTTTTTAAAAGGCTATGATTCTAAGTGGTCAAAAAAAAAAAAAGGGCAATGAGTTATATAATAGATATATATTTGTCCTGAATTCCCCCCTTCAGACCGTCCATCATGGGAACTTAAGCATGACCTAGAATATTAATTGTGTCAGGTTGAGCAATGAGCAAACGTACCATTTGTTACCCAGTCACCCTTAGCCTTACATTAATATTTTGAACTATTCCATATTTCTAACAATCTATCAGCAGGCTCCTTTCTCCTCAGTTTTTATTCTTATGCTTAAGTGCTGGGTGGGAAAGTGGAGGTAGGACTGACTCGAAAGCTGAGGATGTGTGTGCTTCCACAGAGCACCTGCTGCGCTGTCTCAGAGTGTGCCCGATGCGGCTGCCCTACATGGGCCTTTGTGTCCTGTGTGCCTGAGGGGTGCTGCAGTCTAACTTTTTCTCGTTTCTTTGTTATTGAGGCTTCCTCTCAGAACACACTTTCCGTGAACAGAGGAGACTATGAAACTGGTGGATCCAGTTATGGATGTTTCAATGTCAGTTTTCACCAGCAAGAGACAGTCATTTGCCCGGACTTGAAAACTGCTTACCCTGGGAGTGAACAGAGGTGAACAGGTTAGTTCCGAGACTTCACCTCTTTTTCTTTTTGGAAACAGAAGTCACTCAAGTCACTCAGCAAATAGAAGTCCCAGGTTATCACAAAAGGCACAAAATGGAAAACCATTTTCAGGTCTCTGGATTTAAAATCTGTGAAAGGAGGCTCTACCTAAAGTGTGCTTGTGCACTAAGTTCGAAGAAGATAACACAGAGCTCCAATGACTGGAAAAGCAACAGAGGGCCTGAGAACTGAGTGAGAGTGAAATATTTCCCATAGTGGTAGTGGGGATTGCTGAACCAACGATGGCAGACACTTCATCATAGCTGCCAGGCATACTTGTGCTATGGGATTTACTAAACCCCACTCAGCAAGTAATTGCCCTGCTCTTAGGGGACAAGTGTGGCCCTGAAGTTGAGGAGGATGTTGCACACCTACTGCTCCTGCTGAGGACCTGGAGGTACCATGGCCATTTTTCAGCTATAGCATCCGTCTTCCTCCTACATCCCAGGATATACTCATCACTGGACATTCACTAAAGCATCTGTGATGTGAACTTACTGACATAAAACAAATAAAAATACAAAGGAAGTTAACCATTACTAACTACACACACTTGTGGCTTATTTTTGCTTCACTTAAGAGAATTTTGGGACCTGGGTAGTCTTAGGAGCTGTGTAGGAATCCTTACTACTCCTGTCTTATTTTTTAAAAGTGTATTTGCTTAAACTTAGGGACCCAATATATTTCACACAGGCTTCCCTCTGTAGCTTCTTGTCAACCATAGCCCTGAGCTGGAGCACTTGCTTATCCACACCGAGTACTGCTATGCTTTCTCCTTAGTCCCATTATCACACTGAGAATAGAAGTGAACAGGAAAGAAAAGTAAGAGAAGGGAAGAAGAAACACATAGAAGGGGAAGAAGAACATTTGAAATTTTAAAGTTTCATCAAATTGGAGTGGAGCCCTGTAAATGCAGATCTTAGAAATCACCATTAGGACCTGAACCAGATGCTGCAAGACTTCAAGGTTCTCAACCCGTGCAGAGCAGCATTCATGGGCTGTTTTCCACTAATGTCGGCAGGTGGCTTGTGTGCTCACTTGGTGGCCATTCCCCGAGAAACTCAGTGGTGCCACTGATAGCTGATAGAAGCAGCAGAACTGTATTCAGCCTGCATCAGGAGAAGACCCCAGCGACCCTCAGGACTAGGCATGCCTAGAGAAGACCCCAGTGCCCCTCAGGACTCAGCATGCCTGGAGAAGACCCCAGTGCCCCTCAGGACTCGGCATGCCTAGAGAAGATCCCAGCGCCCCTCAGGACTCAGCATGCCTAGAGAAGATCCCAGCGCCCCTCAGGACTCAGCATGCCTGGAGAAGACCCCAGCGCCCCTCAGGACTCAGCATGCCTGGAGAAGACCCCAGCGCCCCTCAGGACTCAGCATGCCTGGAGAAGACCCCAGCGCCCCTCAGGACTCAGCATGCCTAGAGAAGACCCCAGCACCCCTCAGGACTCAGCATGCCTGGAGAAGACCCCAGTGCCCCTCAGGACTCGGGATGCCTAGAGATCTTTAGGACTATCAGAGCTTTGGTGCAAGGAGAGGTAGAAAATGCTGGAGAATCCCCCTAGAAGCATCACCAAGATACTATGTTATCCCCTAAATAATATGTTGTGCCTGTTTTATTCTTGAGAAAAATTTGTTTCTTCATATATATCCTAAAGAAGAAAATACATAGGTGTGGTTTCATTTTATTCTTACATGATCAGATGGAAATACTGTTAAATAGCTGCTTTTACTAAGTAAAAAAGTACATTTTCAGAAGTGAATTTGCTATTGCCATTAATATTATACATTAAAATGTTCCCTGTGAAATGTTGGAAGAAATTTAACTACAATATTTTAATGCCACCTAAAGTCAGTAACTGTAGAACACCTGACAACTCGCACCATACACTGAGATGGATCACACTCTTCATGTCCCCGAGTCCTTCTTAGGAGGAAGGGGAGGTTAGACCTTCTAAGACATATGGTAATAGAACATTCCACAGCTGGTGGTGTTATCAAAGACAGAGCATGTGCTGTGGGAACTGAATCTTTGTGGCAAAAATATCTGTGTTTGTTCTAAAGCTAGGTAGAATTTTGCAGTAAAAATGGGAGAAAGGCATTGAGGCCCAGAGGATAACCTAAGAAGTCAAAGGAGATCTGGTGAAACAGCGAGGGGACATCAAATCAGCCCCTTGTCATGAGGCTATCGCCAAAAATGATCTTCAGAGTGTTGAAAATTCGAGTTTAGTTCCACCATACATTTGGAATTTCTTGATTTTCATATCTCTTTTTAAAAGATAAAGTCAGGAGAAAGTCCCAAACATACATGAAAATGCTGGCAAAAACTACAGTTTAAGGGAAATGACAGAGAGATGGGGACCAGAGACAGGAGGATCCTAGGTAGTATGCAGGCAAGTTAGCCCAGTGAACAGCAAAGAATCCCTCTCTCAGACAAGATGGGTGGTGAGAAGAGACACCCAACGCTGTCCTCTGACCTCAATGTGTGGTTCACTTACACTTATGCAACACACACACACACACACACACACACACACACACACACACACACACTGAGGAAATAATATCTGAACTTGAAAA